CCCGCCGACCGAGCGGGGGAGCGGCGCCCCCGCGGCCGAACAGCGGCGCCGGGAGAGCCCGGCCATCGCGGCCAGGCTGGGGACAGGGCCTCCCCTTCCCCCCACCCCCGCACCATCCCCATCCCAGCGTCGGGGACGGGACCCCACAGCCCCTCTCCCCGCAGGGCCCCTCTCCCCTCGCAGCCCCTCTCCCTTCACAGCTCCTCGCCCCTCATGGCCCTGCAGCCCATCAGGAAGGGCACCCAGGCACCCCCAGACACTCCAGCGGAGGCCGGGACCACCGCCGTGCTCTCCGGGCTGGGGTCTCACCAGTTGAGGGGTCAGGCCAGGGACCCCCGCACAGGCAGCAGAACCCTGTCTCCCCACTCTCTGCCACACTGGAGCTGCCTGCCCCTATGTGAAAAATTTCTCAGGGATGGGGATAGCGAATAGATAATGAAGGCTGCGACTCAATTAATGGCTGAAGAGCTTCTGACCTTTCTGTGCTGGGCTTCGTGACTCGCTGCCCCAGCTCCAGGAGCCAGGCTGGGGGGCTGATCACAAGGGAGATGCCCAGAAGTGAGAAACACGCGGATGAGTTTACTCCTGCAAGCATGGAGGATGTCTGTGTCACTTCTTGCTTCCCCGGACCAGAGGCTATACGGGATTTATCCAAGGGTTACAGGAAAGCTGGGAGATAGAGCCCCAAATGCCAGCCTAGAAAACCTCCGCTGGCAGCGCAGCCGCTCTCTGAACATGGGGATTTTTGTTTCTTCCTGTTCCAAAGCTAGAATTTTCAATTTGCCAGAAGAAATTCTTCTCATGCTTTTCTATGCCAGCCTTTTCCAAGCTCTCCAGTGTGACTTGCTCCCTTCTGCTCCATGAGCTACTGGGAGACCATCATTCTCATGTTCATGTCTCATTTTAACAAGGCACACTCCCACGAGCATCTTCAATAAACGAACACCATTTTGTCCAGAGACATGGTGAAAATTACAGCCCGCAAGTGGTCTGAAGCTCTGCTTCTGCCGCTGCAAAAGCCTGCCTAGAGCCCAAGGCTTCGTTTCTTTTTTCCACCAGCAACCCTCCCTCGATGGACCCTGGCAAAGCACACATTCACTGCACTCTGCTGCACAAGCTGCCCCCAGCCTGAGACAAAATCATCAGTAAATAAATTTGTAATCAAAGGTCACAGTGCATCAGACCTTCGAGTACAGCTACTCCTGTTGAAAGTTAACCACGGGGTATTTGCAGCCAATGGTCCAAGATAAGGAAAAGAGGAAGGTTTAGGGAAGCAGCATTACCTGGACACGCAGCAGGGACAGTAGGAAGTTCTGAGCACCTGCATCCAGCGCCAGGACGCAGGAGGGCTCTGGCAGGGGTGAAGCGAGCGCAGTGAGGAAGGGGGCATCCGGACAGGCCTGAGCAGGGTAAGCTGGGGAAGTTGAAACATGAAACAGAGCAGCACGGTCGGCTGAGCCGGAGGCATCAAGGAAGAGCAGGGAATCCAAACCAACAGCCACAGTACACTCGGCAGAGTCCTGGAAATGAGCTCCAGGAGTGAAAACAAGAGGAGAAAGGCAGTGTCTTCAGCTGGCGTTTAATAGGAAGCTAGCTTTGAAATTAGTAATTTGCAGATGTAGAGAAGGCACATAAATTTGAATACAGCTCTCCAAGATCAGCTCCATTTTCTGTGAGTAATTATTGAAAAAAAAGAAGAAAAAGATTATGGCTTCTCAGAGCAGCCTATATATGCTAATCACATTGCACCCAATATGCTAATCACAGCAGGGGAATATGGCCTGTTATCTTGAAACACGGCAGATGCTGTCACACCACCAAAGGCTGTTCCTGTTGCTCCGGCATATTGCAACGAGCCGTGTGGAGAAGCAGAACAGGAATGCGTGGGCAGGAGAAGCACAGCACCATCAGCGAGACTTTGCCACTGCCCAGTGGCTCAGGTCACTTGAAGAAGAAGCCGTATTTCAGCGGGTCCTCCTCTTCGACAGTGAAGGTGGCTGTACCGGTGTAAAACGCTTCTCCCGAGACTTCCACGATGACAGCGTTGTAGTCCCCAAACTTGGCTTCCTGCAGAGGGATTCGGATCAGGACAGAGGCGACAGGAGGTTCTCCACTCTCCCAACCCCACGAAATGCCAGCGCTACCTGGCACTTAGGCAGAGTCACCCCTCACCGAGTGCTCTGCCCTGCCCAGGTACATCCCGAAGTGTGTGGCAGCCCTTTTACTGCCTCGCTTTGCCTGCACGAACTCCACACCTGCACGACTGCTGCTGCCCCCGCTCTGAGCTCGCGAGCCCCCACACCACCACACCCTGGGTTTGCCTCAAAGGAGGCCAACAAGCTGCCGAGGCGCCCAGTCCTTCCTGACGGCTGAGGGAGGATTTGAAGGGAAGCCACGCAGCAGAACATGGTCTTACTGTTACTTGCTTCCCTAATAAAAAATCCTGAAGCGTGAGGCTCGTGGGAAGGCAAGACCCCCAGGCACCTCCCTCCTTCCATATGCCCTTCCCCAGGCACAGAAAGGCTTTTCTGCTTCTCCACTGAGTCAAGCCAACAGCGCTTTTCCAGCAGTCCTCAAGACAGAGGGAAAGTCCAACACAAGCCACTTGCCTGCACGGCCTTCCCAGTGAACAAGGACCCTGTGGTACTGCTCCGAAAGGTTCTGGTCTGATTCAGCTGGATGAGTCCCTTATGGTACTGCAAGGCGATGCGAGCTGTCACACCCGAACCTGTGGGACTTCGGTCAACCTACATTCAGAAGAAAAGATGAACCAGCTCTAGTATTTTGGGTTTTAATAGAAAACAAAATTGCTGCCCTCAGTTCTCTTTGCCACCTTTATACTGTGCTTGGGGGAATCCACCTAGTCCAGGGGTTTGTACAGAATCAGGATACATCACAAATGAGAAGACAAAATAAGCAGGGTTGGGGGACTTTTGGATTGTGATCAGCTTTGGCAAACTCATCACTGGATGAGTGATCTCATATATTGAGATACTGAGGCTATTTAGGGAGCGCCTGAAAGCTTCCCAGCATCATAGCGAAAGGACTGAGAGGGGCAGAGGCCACCTTCCCCATTCTCACACGTCAAGGTAGGACCAGTTCTCTTCAGGCCAACTGTGAGAGCTGCTGGCCAGCCTGGTCTTTAAAACCTCCAAAAACACAGCACTGGCCAGCTTCCACGGCGATCTGTTCCATTCCGCACTGCTGGGAAGTCCAACTGAAACTTCCCCTGCTATTTATGTGGTACCTTATCCACCACAGACACGGATAAAAGTTCACACGCCCTCTTTTCTCTCCTCCTCTGTTGATCCCCAGCAGCTGTTCCCCAGATTAGGACTTTAAGAACATGCACTATGTCTGTTGGGATCCTGCCTCAGCCCCTGAACTCCTGGGAAATTCCTAGCTATGGGGCGTGGGTATAAACCTTTTTAAAATGCCACCATCTAAGATGTGCAGAAGTATTTCTGTCATTAGGAGCTACAACTGCATGTGTTGAGTAACACTCAGCTCTTCAGAGACATCACTGTAGCAGAAGGAACGATCACCGCCCAAAATGAGAAGAAACAGAACCGTCCCTCGGCTCCGCAGAAGATGTAAGAAGGGAAAAAGGTGGTGGCGTGTGTTTCTGTACCTGTTCATCCGCAAACACACAGATGTTGGTGGTGGGCTCCTCACTAAAGGCATCCTTCCCATCTGTCAGTATGGTGCCGTAGAGGAAAGCCAGGTCTTCGCTTTCAGGGTGATGAAGCTTGAACTGGGAACAGCAGAGACAGGTTCACCACCGCACGCAGCAGCTGGGCAGTCGGCAGGACGTGCAGTACAGCCTCCTTGAGAGACCAGAGGAAGGGGACGAGGCCACACTGCTGCATTTCCACCTCTGCTTCTCCAGTAACAGAGGCGGATGCAGCAGCAGGAAAGCAAACTCCTTCTCATGTCCCTGTGAGGCTGGAGGACTAAGAAATTCACCACGGGGCTGGAAGCACGGGACTCCCTCCCATCCCGAGTGTCTCAGGGGAATAAAGCATCTTGGTCTGGTGCAGTCACCCCGAAGGGGACACGCCGGGGTACCGCAGCACTCCGCCATACCTGTTTCTTCACCGCTTCTGTCACTGCGCTTGCCGCATCAACGAGGTCTCTGGTCTTTGAAGAGCACACATCGAGGCCCAGCTGCTCAGCGCTGAGAAAGGCATAGAAAGTGCCACCGTAGCCGATGTCGACCACCACCTTCCCGTGACCAGGGACGTCGATGGCCAAGTCTGGGCAGAGGAAGGGAGGGAGGTGAGGAGGGGAAAATGTGCCGAGCAAAAGAACCAAGCTGCATGCAAGGGCGGGACGGGGACGATGACATAAGTGCTCCCATGCCAGAGAGCGGCATGTGACACCTTATGGCCTCATCCAGCCTCTGGGGGACATCGGAATCAGGGAGGGATTTGCCAGCCCCCACCACCAAACCCCCATAAAACCGGCGCGGCAGGCTCGGTCCCCACCGGTGGCAGCAGCAAAGGCAGGCACGCTGTGGAATCGGACGGGGTTGCCGCTGCGGCGGCCGTCCCAGGGCACGAAGGCGGTGACGGGCCCGCAGGGGCAGCGCAGGCGGCCGGCGGGCTCGGGGGGGGCGGGGGCCGCCCCCCCCCCCCAGACCG